GGACCAGGCAAGTTCAGAGAGTTGATGTTTACAAATGTGAAGTCTATACATGTAATTATTCTTGATTTCTTGAATCTTATTGAGGGGTGGGTGTGGGTATGATTGAACAGCTTCTCTGACAAAATCCACACTCAGCTATCATACAAAACCGCAAAATTTTTAGTAGTTTAGTTTCAAAAACATCTTTCCAGTACTATTGACGACAATATACTGGTCAAATTCTAGGAAAGGTGTGTATTAAATTAACTTCTATGCAACGTTTCCACAGTAGATCATGGGGAGAACTGGAGTCTTTGTGTAATCCATAGGATAGATATAGTCAATTCAGTTAGAATGATGGAAACACTTTGTATTTCCAGAGAGCATGAACAGACACAACGCTAATGTTTGGAATCGAGAGAACCATAGAAGCAAACGCTAGTTTCATATATTTTATTAGAATTGATATTCGTGGCTTTGGACAGGTCGAACTGAAATTTTCTCTTCTTATTGTCGATTAAACAAAATAGAGTTCAAAAACGTCGTTAGTTCATGTTCTTTTTTAGCGATCAAACGTGCTGAAAATTATAGAAATCATAGCCGCTTTTCTTCTTCACTTGTTATGGATAGCCTTATCATGTTTTCTATCGAACATACTGTCACTACCAAATGTTTTATGTAAAACTTATAGAAGCAAGATTGTCGACAGCATTTTCTAGCATAAGTAATAATGGAATTGTGACAATACATGGAAAGTTGTACTGTAAATCCATTGACGTGTGCATTTGGCCATGGATACCAAATCATGTAAACAGCGCTGTCTTTAGGTACTTTTTGACACTACTGTGCAGTATGCGAATGTATTAGCCAGGCACAAAAATTTGCTTCATCTCTCAATACCCACTCGGATAAGTCAATGCCGAATTTTACTCGTGGAATTAGTATGTAGAATAGAACGAATATATCCAGATCGACAGACAGTGGGTGTTGTTTGTGGAACAGATTTATTGGAGTTTTTGTAGGTCTCTATCAATGTTGATAGTGTACGTAATAGCTATGGGTCTATATGAAATACTGAAGAGTGGAAACCCTATAGTCACACAAAACACATACGTTTCCACACATTTTCGCCAATATTTTATCTGTGTGTCCTGGACAAATACCAGTAGATGGTATTTTTTTAGACTTGTAACTCTACATGAGTGCCATTAATGCACAACAACGTCGAACTTGATTGCATAACGTTCTTGAAAAAATTCTCATAGACAAGGTCGAGCTCTGCCATCGTGTTTCGTGTCTAAAGTCTGCAGAGATTGCATTAAAAGATTTATATTGATTAGTTTGAAACTATAATAGTTGCTCCATAGACTAAAACACTATCAATTATAATGCTCATGAATATGTTACTAGAACGATCAAAAACCGATTTATGCTACCTATTGTGATTTAACTTTATAGGTCGTAGATTTTTCAGTACAGGAAACAGTAAATAGACACCAGCACGTGTTAGCTATTCAAAAATATCTAGTATATTTTGTGCTAAAGTGTACTTTAAGTTCCAAAATCATTTTGAATACTCATGAATTTGCATTAATCATAACCAATGTAAACTATCCACCATACTGATAGACGTAAATCTTGGTTGAAAGTGAAAAATAAATTTGCACCTTTTCTGACCTTTTTTTGTTACGGCAATTTTTAAAAATTTCTTAACGAGGTAATTAAATAAGATCTCTATCTAAAACTCAGGTTCGATCTTATCCAGATATCCATATTGGCGAATGGCAGGATAATATAAAATGATCTTGTCAAGTCATGTCTTTTGATGTATATGTAATTGTTGGGAAAACTGTAAAAACAAACACTTTTTAAACTCCTCTCGGCTTGCTCTTATAATATATGCCATTTAATTCTTTTTATTGCTTCACAGCTCAATTCAAAGACATACATTTTACCTACATGAATAGCATCTGTTGGCTCAAGGGAACGTACTATCTTCCAACAAGCGAGAGTAAGTTTTGTCCGATCAACACTAATCATCTATTCGACAATGTTCTTCGTAGTCGAAATTCCCGATCGATCGAAGCCTCGAACTTATTTCATGTAAGAAGCCATGCCAAGTAGTATATATATATATGTCGTAAGACACTTGATACAATTTAGTTTGAAACATTCCTAGTTCAAATTAAAATTTTCATTTGATCTAATCCACATAAAAATGTGAATCTGAGCTAAGGAGGCAAAATTATCGAATCAAAAAGTTTCTTTTTATATTAGTATGCTTACTCACACTTCCTTTTCCTGTTTTTATTTGATCGATCGATCTGTGTGGAGGTGTTCAAGTGTTTTTTATCCATATATAAACTCAGATCTTAATGAAACTCGTTCATTCCCTGAAAAACACAGCTTTACAAACAATCTCACATTTTTTTTTGAACGAAATCATCTAGCAAATATATTTTTGTCTAATTCACTGTGTACACATTTTAAGATGTAACTTTCATCACAACATCTTATTTGAAAGAGAAAATGGGTTTCGTACATTGGCATACTTCTCATTAAGAGTTTTGTATGACACTGATCGAATAAGAATAGTTCTCTAAATACATCATACATTGTTAATAAATGTGACTTTTCTCCCTCACTGTTCAATCAATAACAATCTTTAGAAAAAAAAAGAAACTTTTTAAAACACTACAGAATTGTCGAAAAGTTTTTCCTTGATGAAAGCCTTCTATTCGAGATTGAAACCTGTCGATAGCCCACGTTGTGAAACTGAATTATTTGATCAGTGTCATGCAGAGCTCTTAATGTGCTTATGAGAGAGTGAATGAGTTTCATTAAGGTCTGAGTTCACATATAGATAATAAAAAACTTGAATGCCTATAAATGGATAGGTCAATCAGATCAAAACAGGAAAAAAGAAGCATGCGAAAACATTCCAACATAAGAAAACTTGTTGTTTCTACAATTTTCATTAGTTCTCTGACTATATTTATATTATGTGGAATTTATTAATATTTATTTTGATCGCATCTAGATCTTACTACCAATGGACACCATTGATTCTTCTCGGTATGGCTCTTTTTTTCACAATGCCCGGCCATCTGTGGCATTCATTTTCACGTCAAAGCGGTGTGAACCTAAAAAATATGATTAAAATGATCAAAGATGGTCGAAATGATGAAATAAGACTCGACAACATTAAAAAATTAATAAAGGCAAAGTTAGACATGAAAAAACATTTGCATAGGCGGAGTTTAACCCGTCGTAAGTTTCATATAAGTTATAGATGTGGCCGTCTTACATTGCTTCTTTTTATCACAAAACTTCTTTATGTTACAAATACACTTGGTCAATTATTATTTTTGACAACTTTTCTTTCATTGCGACACACCGACTTTGATGTCAGAGTATTTAGCAAAATGTTTCAACATGGCGCTGATTGGTTCGAATCTTCACGATTTCCTCATGTCACTATGTGTGATTTCATGATTCGGGACTTGGGCTCAAATCAACATTGGTATACTGTTCAGTGTAACCTGCCGATTAATATTTTTAATGAAGTCATCTTTTTCAGCATCGTACTCTGGCTTATTATTTTGACCATTGTGAATATTCTGTCAATCGCCTTATGGTTTTTTTTCTTGACTGTCCATAATCGAAAAAGATCCATCACAAAATGTTTGCGATTATATCAAAATTTGGAACCAAAGACAACGATTGCAAAAAGCAAACAAATAGAAAAAAGTTTTATTGACTACATAGGTTCAGACGGATTTTTCATCTTGAGTATTATTGGACAAAACACAGATGAACTTCTAGCGATTCAAACAATTGGATATCTTTACAAAAATTATGTAGCAGACTTTCTTAATACAGAACGAAGTACAGTTTAGAATCAAATATTTTTTATATGTTTGAACTTTTATTAAACGAGACTCAATTTTATATTCTGACGAATGTCCGAGAAGGATCGTCGAGGGCCATATCAAGTACAAATGTCGTCAAAATTGCTTATGTTTCGATGATTAATCGAGTTTTATCGTTGATTTTTCTAGTATTTACGATTAATTGGCGATTTCATTCTAATAAAAAAGTTTGATAACTGTTTTATAGATTCTTTTCTTTTTATTGTTCCTTTTCACTTTTGATTCGCCACTTTGGATTGATCTATTGTTGACACTAACAGCTCATGATACAATAAGTTTCGTCTATGCGAGGATATATCTAAATTAAGATAAATCTAGGCTATCATATGGCAAGGTTACGAAAAATCGTAGGAGAGTAAGAAAGAACACAAGCAGAGCTATTTAAGTGACAGCAGAAATAAAATGAATAGGAGGTAATCAGATTCTTGTGATGTTCAATGAAAGAATTTCAAGAGACGGTCCGCCAGAAAACTGGATAGAAAATGAATATTTGGCTAGAGGGTATGTGGGTGTTATGTACTCGGTCTAACACTCACATTCACACTCCATACCCCGTTTTGAAGAATATGTAATCAATGAACTTACCTTTGCTCTGTCATACAAACTTAAATTATTAGAAGCAGTAAGTAATCATAAATTTTATTATAAATTATCAAAAATATATTGGATAGTAAAGAATATACAGTTCAAACAATAAAAGAAGCTCTTCAACAAAAACATCTATTTGAACGTCGGTGTGAAAAATATTTGAACGAATTAAAATAACGCAAATGTTTAGAAAATTTACGAAAATAAAATTTATTCGATAAAACTAACTTATTAGTAATGATAATGAAAAAAGGTAATGATCGACCGCGATCGGATAATACTTGAATTCATTTACTATTAATTCACAAATCAAAATAAAATCGTTTACCTGAAGTATGTTTCTCTATTGAAATGTAAGAATCAATTTTTATAGCTTGATGATTTTTTTTTTAATTTTTGATAATGTACAATATCACGTTTAAAGAAAACAACAGAAAGGATCATACAGACAAAAAGAAATTTCTTTTTATTAAATAATACAGATTTATGGAAAAAAAACGTTCATTCGTGATCTGATTCAAGATTACTAATAGCTTCAATTGTTATTCCATCAATAGGATATCGAAAATATTCTTCAATAGCTTTCATTATATTGAAATCTTTTTCTGAACCAATTAAATTAAATGTATAACCTGAATTCAAAGAAAATCAAACAAAATTCAAAAATTTTAATAAAACAACAAATATTTGTAGCTACCTAGTTTACTACAACGACCTATTCGATGAAGATATGTTTCATAATCAGGTTTAAAATCAGTTGTAACTGGCATATCATAATTAATAACTAGTGAAACATCATCAATATCTATACCTAAAGCAAAAAAAAATATCAGTGCGGCCTTTGAGCGTCAATGTGTAGAGCTCGTCAATTTTGACTATTATTAATTTATGGTACATTGTTGAACGAGTTAATAATTTACTTTCAAAAATTGTCGAATACATGAATAAATCAGAATTGTAATTGCTAAAAATAAAAAGTGCGCTGTGAAATTTTATCATGTCGAGATTTTTGAATTTTGAAGTACTATGTCTTCAATTTATCAGACTCATTTAACATGTTTATGCTGAAAATACGAATACAATATAAGAAAGTGTTAAATTTCTAAGAGCCATCTTTTCCAATAATAATTAATTGATAGTCATTTTTCTACGTTTCAAACAGAATTTTTTAAACTTTTTTCTATGAGCGCCCTATTTTGTGTTTGCATTGTTGCTATTCGCTGATTATTTTTTTGTGAAACACGATCTGAAAGGAGTGTTGAAGTGTTTAGGGGTAGAAATTTGGACGCCCCCCC